GCGTGGATTTTTTTCAGGGCCCTCTGGTGTTTCGCCCTCCACGTTCATAAACATGCGGTTCGAGTGTTTGGCTTCTAGAAATTTCCACGTGATAAGCAACTTCGTTGAGCTATCATTTGTGGCCAGGTCGCTTCTGAAAAAGAGCCATAAAGCTCAGTGGGCCTTACCTAGTAAAATAAAGATAGTTTGTAGTCACAGTTTAACAGCCTTTTCTCATGATCCTGCGATGTAATACTCCACCTAACACCACCACCACACGACCTGACCGCGCTCCTCATCCATAGTGGATGTACTCGCATCATACTATTCTGAATAATTGAAGGTTTTTGTATTTAGCTTATGGTGATTAAGTTTACGTGTAAAATAAATCTCAAGTACAAATTACCATGATGTTTTTTTTCAGTTAAGTTTCATTGTCTTTGTAGTTCTGATAAAATCTTCAGCTTACACTCATTAGCCCTTATGTTAAATGTGGAGGTCATACGGACACTAGCCTTGACCATAGGAATGTGGAATTTCCTTCACTGATTCAGATCCAATAGGTGAGCAGTACTCGATGCTTGTTTGGGCATACATAAACTTTGAAGAGACATTCATTATATATTGGTAAATATGACACACTGCTCACACCTTTGCGGTATTAGTCTATTCTTTTTGGAACATGATACGATAAAAAAGACTACTTCGAATTATAACTAATTATTTCCTATAGAATAGACTCATCCTAATTATTTCCTATAGAATAGACTCATCCTAGGGTATAGCGGTGCCACTGTGGTTAATGCACTGCGTGGACACACACTCTCACTGCCTGCATATATTATTTAGAGTACAGTACTTTATTCAGTATTATTGCATTTTCACTTTACATTTTGACGGATACAATTTTGCTCTCAAAGCAACATCGCAGGCCATCATTTGCACTGAGCCCGCGCTTAATATTCCACGCAATTGCACTCGGCATATTTCGTTGCTTAACCATGGCACTTGCGATGCGGCATTTGGCACGCGATCCACTTGTGCCAGTACCATGCCCACCAGGACCCAACAATACCCTGAAGCGTAAACCATCGCATGCAGACGCAACGTCTAACCAGCGACACACGACCTTCGTAATCCAGGCTTCTGCCTTATAATGGCCTCGTGAGATTGCACAGACAAGCGTGAGCGCATGCGACTCGTAGCTTGTGTTGCTCATTGACATTGTCATTGCGTATGGGCACAAAGAGCCCGTGATGTGTGCGGCATTAGCTAAAACTAATACGGGTTCATACTCTTTGTTTTTTTTCGGTAAAGTCACGTAGGTATAAAATAAAACAAATCACGACGTTTCGGGCGCAACACGCTTGTTGCAGAAACCAATACCGAAGTCTGCACTCGCAATGCAACGCTGAGTTTATTGTCGGTTGGAGTTTGATAAATGGTGATTTAAAAATCTGGGCGCTTTTTTTCTCCCCCCCCCTACCCGTTGCTAATTGCTGATTCTATCCGGCGAATTGTACAAGTGGTGGCAAAAAAAATATATTTGAGAATGAACCTTTGAAAACTTAATTATCACCATCATAATCATCATCACGATTCCATGGGCAGATAGCCACTCCACATTCCTTCATTTTCCTTCCATAGAAACGTTACACCGGCCAAACGCTTTGCTTCATTTTAAGCCTCGAACTCATGTAAAGGGTAAAGACGCAGCCCTGCCAATCGCTTGCTCACGCCACTGCTGGTGGAGGGGCCTCCCCTACAGGAAGCTCTAAAGAGAGTCCCCCCCCCCCCCCCCTATCGAGGATATTTGTTCCAGATGCTCGGGAAGAGGTGGAAGTACCCACACTTTACCCCAACACACGTGACCTGTTGATCCACCGTGCCATAGCCATTTGTACTACGTACTATTAATGGTGGCACCAGGGTGGTGCGATTTTAACTGCATCGTCTGGTATACAGGAGGTTATAGGTTCGATCCCGACCCTGACACCTGCTGTATATTTGGAGATTGCATGTCTCTCTCCCCGTGGTCGCGTGGATTATTGTCAGAGGTACTTCGGTGTTTCGCTCGACATTTGGAAACATGCGCTTGGAGTATATGGCTGCTATAAATGTCCATGTGATAAGCCATTTCGTTGGGCAATCGTTTGTGGCCAGGTCGCTTCTGAAAAAGAGCTATGTACAGTGAGGGAAAAAAGTATTTGATCCCCTGCTGATTTTGTACGTTTGCCCACTGACAAAGAAATGATCAGTCTATACTTTTAATGATAGGTTTATTTGTATAGTGAGAGACAGAATAACAACAAAAATCCAGAAAAACGCATGTCAAAAATGTTATAAATTGATTTGCATTTTAATGAGGGAAATAAGTATTTGACCCCCTCTCAATCAGAAAGATTTCTGGCTCCCAGGTGTCTTTCATACAGGTAACGAGCTGAGATTAGGAGCACTATATAAAGACACCTGTCCACAGAAGCAATCAATCAGATTCCAAACTCTCCACTATGGCCAAGACCAAAGAGCTCTCCAAGGATGTCAGGGACAAGATTGTAGACCTACACAAGGCTGGAATGGGCTACAAGACCATTGCCAAGCAGCTTGGTGAGAAGGTGACAGCAGTTGGTGCGATTATTCGCAAATGGAGAAAACACGAAAGAACTGTCAATCTCCCTCGGCCTGGGGCTCCATGCAAGATCTCACCTCGTGGAGTTGCAATGATCATGATAACGGTGAGGAATCAGCCCAGAACTACACGGGAGGATCTTGTCAATGAGACCTCCTTTGCCAGAAACAAGATATAGGAATAGGTTTTACCCTTTTAACTGGCACAAAAAATGAGGTCTCATAATGTTAATGCTCACCCCGAGCCCTCAATACTCTGATAGTGCGCTGTTTTTGAGTTGTACGCCTTTTGGCGTCTTCTGGTCCAACACCAATGGAGACTAGGCTCTAAGAAAAGCTGTCTCGGGTGTGGACCAATCAAATTCAAGGACAGTGCATATTATTATCAGAGTTGTCTTTTTTGTTTGCATTTTGACTGCTTGTGTTGTGGTCATTGCAAACATGATGCCTTGAATAAAGGTGTCAGTTTTTGTGCTAGTTAAAAGGGTAAAACCTATTCCTATATCTTGTTTCTGGCAAAGGAGGTCTCATAATGTTAATGCTCACCCCGAGCCCTCAATACTCTGATAGTGCGCTGTTTTTGAGTTGTACGCCTTTTGGCGTCTTCTGGTCCAACACCAATGGAGACTAGGCTCTAAGAAAAGCTGTCTCGGGTGTGGACCAATCAAATTCAAGGACAGTGCATATTATTATCAGAGTTGTCTTTTTTGTTTGCATTTTGACTGCTTGTGTTGTGGTCATTGCAAACATGATGCCTTGAATAAACGTGTCAGTTTTTGTGCCAGTTAAAAGGGTAAAACCTATTCCTATGAAGACACTTTCTCAATTGCTATTACTGTACAGAGAGATCAAACTGCTAACCTTGGGATTGCAACTATAATTTGCTAACAATTACACCGTTGCAGAACCCCTTGTACTACTCTTCACAATCGTAAACGCTGTATTACCAGCTAATACACACAGCTAAAGTAGTGGGTTTGAATTGGTTCAAACTGATTCATCTCATTGTAAACTTTCTCACCACCGCCTCTGCAGTGTACAAACTCCAGCGAGCCAACTGGCAGACGGGTGTCCGCATTGGGGTAAAGTGTGGCCAAGTATCCCTTTGTCCACGGTGATAAGTGTGCTATGTGCGAGCTCCGACTCCAACGCTACTACATGGGAGTGTAACGATAACTGTGGGGGTAAGAATCGAGGAAGACGGTTGACTTTTGGACAGCAAACAGCCTCCCACGGCCCACACTTTCTGTGCACTCCTCCTGGGAAGAAAGAAGAAACAAAAGCAATAATAACCGCATTTTGCCACCCTATTCCAGGCCTTTAATTGTCCAGGTGCCAGCTCGGCCCCGCCCCCCCGCCCCCCCGCCCCTCCCACCCCACCCCCTAAACGTAACAATCGGACAAACAGAATAATAATGGGAATTTTCCTGGGTCTGGGCCATCCAGTGTGGATTGCTCTCCAATAACTCCAGCACTGCCCACCAACCGTCACCCTGCCACCCCCATCCACTCTGCCCGGCTAGGCCTGTGGATTATGGCTGGTGAATAATGCACATGGAGGGGGGCAGGGGGGGGGGACGAAGGGGATTGGGAGAGTGGAGAGGATGGAGGGAGGAGGGGGACGGAGGTCTGGGAAGGAGGAGGCGGGGAGTGCCGACGTGCTCCTGTATAGGGCACGGCTGGCCTAATCCGCAATCCTTGTGCCAATGAAAAGCCGTGACAAATCCAACAAAAGTGACCTTCCACAAAGGCCTCCATGTTTTCTTTCACTCTCCAAACCCTCCACCCAGGTTCTTCCCTCCCCCCCCCCCCCGCTCCTTCACTTTACAAGTTAATTATTTAATTAATCTCTCTTTTTTTGTCATCCTCTCGCATCAAGTTTGCCTGTTTGGGTTGCGAGAAGGTTGTGTGTGTGTGTGTTAATGTGTGTTTCTAGTTGTTCTGCAAAATGGGGTGTATGTTTCGACTCTGGAGCGGTGGCGCAGTGCTTAGCACGCTGCACTACGAACCCGGCCTCCCGAGTTTGATTCCCGCTCACGGCCAACAACACCGGTGACAATTATCTGAACCGGTCCTGGGGCTCCTCTAGGTCGACTCAGCCTCAAATGAGTACCTCGTGGCGATGTGTAAACATCGCCACGAGGGAGACAAAGGCAGCGTGGTGCTGGCCACCCAACCCCCCCCCCCCCCTCGTGTACCATTCCAGCCTTCATTAGGTGCTCGCTAACAGCACTTGCCCCCAAAAATCTGTTCAGGCTATACGGGGGACATTTGTCTTTGTTGATCTGGAAGCTCGCACGTGCGTGTGTGTGTGTGTGTAAGCCTGCGTGCGTGTCTGTCCTTGGGTGTGCACAGGACTTGGTGGGGCTTTATTGGTCTCCCTACACAAAGGCAGCTTTCATTGAGAGTGGCTGCAAGCAGTGTCCTTTCGTCTGTCTGTTGCGCGAGTTGGAGCCGTTTGTGCAATACGTGTACTTTCGCCCCAACTGGCTTTAAAAAAAAATAAAACTTCGTGCAATGTTTTGATTGCGGTTCTAAAACAAATGCATATTTCTGGCCGCATCAGCTATTACCGCCGTGCGATTTAAAGTCGTGGTTATAATAATCTACAATTATGCTTAACTACTGAAGTAGTCTGCTGCTTTCGGATTGGCTCGGTGATATTCGCAACATTACATGTGCGCGTGTACTGTGCATAGCGAGGTTTTTTTTGTTTAACCTATTCAATTGCCTCCTGTGGAAGTGTTGGTGCGAGCGAGATGGCGACTTTCACGCGGTTGCTCCTGTTAAGTGTTCTCTTGCTCTGAACAATGCACAGTCGGGCAGGACACCGACTGCCGTCACCTGGCCACTGGCCATCAAACCGTCGCTACGAATAGCAATCCGTTTTGGATGAATGCAGTCCCCCCGAGATACGAACGTCCGACTTACGAACACCCGCACTTACACTAACGAAGCGACGCCGTAGGACGCTAATTTTTTTTTGACCATCCGACTTGCGAACGCTCGGTCGCGCTCACGAACGGAACCGTTCGAACTATTTTGTTCGGAGGAGCGAGGTGTAATGAGTCCCAGAATCTCCCGTGATGCACGCCTGCTTCTGACAAGCAAGCCAGCATCAATACTTAAGGTAAGTGAAAATAACAGATATTTATTTATTTCCATGTTATTTTCTTTGATTCTTTATTTTCTATACGGTATTTATTACAGTATTACATGCAAGTGTAACGTATTTTGTTTCTAATTTATGAGTTTAACAATGCTTCCCTGTTTTGTTGAACGATAACACATTTATGTACTGTGCAGTACAATTAAATATTGAGTTCCGAGATATAAACAAATCGACTTACGAACTGGTCTCAGGAACATTATTTGTAAGTAGAGGACTGCCCGTACAGTGCAGTATTTTTCTCCCTTTAAGCATATTGCCAGGATAATATAATCAATACGTAACACATTCCATTGCTGGACGCTTTCTGGGGATGCTGCTGTGGCTAGGAGATGTTAACTACCTCGCCTGGTATACAGGAGGTCGTGGGTTGTATCTTTGTGTGTGTGTCTCTCTCTCATCATCATCACGGTGGCTAGGAGATGTTAACCACCTTGCCTGGTATACAGGAGGTCGTGGGTTGTATCTTTGTGTGTCTCTCTCTCTCTCTCTCTCTCATCATCATCTCGGTGGCTAGGAGATGTTAACTACCTCGCCTGGTATACGGGAGGTCGTGGGTTGTATCTTTGTGTGTCTCTCTCTCTCTCATCATCATCTCGGTGGCTAGGAGATGTTAACTACCTCGCCTGGTATACAGGAGGCCGTGGGTTGTATCTTTGTGTGTGTCTCTCTCTCTCTCTCATCATCATATCGGTGGCTAGGAGATGTTAACTACCTCGCCTGGTATACAGGAGACCATGGGTTCAAACTCGACCCTGATGCCTGCTGCTGCATATTTGAAGCTACATCGTGGGACCTCCCTTGCCAGTATCACAATATAAAAATAGGTTTTACCCTTTCTGGCAATAAAACAGTTGTGTTAAAATGTTAAAACCTTTTGCAAGGAATCATGTATTTCTCTAAGAAAGCTGTCTCTGGTGTTGACCAATCAGTTTCAAAGACAATGCATCATATACGACCAGAGCATGTCTTTTTGTTTTGCATGTTCACCACAAGTATCTGTGGTTAATGCAGACATGATTTCTTGCAAAAGGTTTCAGTTTGGTGTTTTAACATCTTAACACCTATATTCTTGGTTCTTTCGGTAAAGTCACGTAGAAGGGAAACAATAATAAAATAATAAAAAGATTGTTTTATATTTGTATTATTTTATTGTTTCCCTTCTACGTGACTTTACCGAAAGAACCAAGAATATGAATTCCTGCAGTCACGAAAGCTTTAAATAAAAATCTTAACACAACTGTTTTATTGCCAGAAAGGGTAAAATCGATTCTTATATGTGTATTTGAAGTTTGCATGTCTCTCTACCCGTGGTCACGTTGATTCTTCTCCGGGTCTTCCGGCTGTTCCCTCCACATTTAGAAACACGCGTTTACAGTATTTGGCAGCTATAACATTTCCACGCGATAAGCCACTTCGTTGGGCTACCATTTGTGGCCAGGTCACTTCTGAAAAAGAGCTACAGAGCTCAGTGGGCTTTACCTGCTAAAATAAAACGTGTAGTTTTGTTTTCGTTTCGTTTAGCCATTGCTGAATAGTGTGACACACCACTGTTTGCGTGCAAACTATACAGTGATGTAAGTACATCGTAGATTCAGCCAAATAGTCTACCCATTCCATGTCAAGTGCGTTACGTGATCTGATATCTCAATATGAAAAACTTTCGTTTATAGAGAAATTTGAAGATATAACCTTTAATTATCCATAGTAAGAAAATTAAAGCAAATGACGTATATCCTTCAAATGCTGTGGATTAATTGCAAGCGGTGTCATTTACATTGGTGCCACTGATTGAATGCAATACATGTGATAGAACAGTACTGCTCGCATGCGTTCACGTGACGAAAGTATAGTTTTCGACATTTGTGTTTTTAGCACAACATAAACCTAATCCCTGGGAAGATTGGCACCATCTCTCTCTCTCTGTCTCTTGACCTGATTTATTTTTTCTCTTACAGCCACTGCTGCTTCCTCCTGCTCCTCCCCACTCCTTTCTTTCCAGAGGGGAGTGAGAAGGAGAGAAAGAAAAAGCTTCCTTGGGGTAAAGTGGGCGTTTCTTATTCATATTAATGTCATTTGTAACTGGGCTGGCCAACCCCCTATAACATTTGCCATTCACCCACATCTGCGTCGGGATCTGGCCATCCATCCCAAGGCTCCCAACAACACCACCGTTCAAACTTCCACGGCCACTGCTGGTAAGTCTGGGAGAGTCATCGCAAAAGTTAAAGAAAATAATCCCACGCATGGACGAGCTGTGTGTGTGTGTGTTTTTTTGTTATTTATAACCGTGCCGTTTTAGAGGGAGTCTTTACTTGACAGTCCGCCTCCATTGACAATGCTGTGACTTTGGGGTGCTCGGTTGAAGGCGGTGTTTGCTCTGCTTTTTGAGTACTGTATGTCAAATGACACTCGGAGTTTACGGGCAGAATATATTTTTTTTTAAAGAAAATTAAGTTTAGCGAAGGCGCGAAGTCCACACGGCATTGTCATCATTGTCGTTCTTTGTCATGCGTCGAAGTAGCTTTATCTAAAACCAGACGCATGTGTGGGTTTTTAATACTACAAGACGGTTCTAAGCACGTGTGATAAGACGTCTTGTGGCCAAGCACTGTCGTCAGAACAGTATGTTTCTGTGTGTCTGTGTGTGCCATCGCATAACAGATTGTGCTCTTCAAGGAACACCTGACCGCATCTTTGAATCTCTTAAGTCGATTATTTTTTCTTCTCCTGTAAAAAAAAGAATGGTTTATAGTGTGCTGTGTACACAGACACGTATCTGGTCTTTGACCTTGTTGAAAGAGTTCTGCTGGTTAGGTTTCATCTCTTGAAAGCGGGGTTTGTGTTCAGTTTGTCTTCCTTCTCACGCACCTCCGATTAGCACGGTTGGCTACGTACGGTGCTAAGAAGTTCAACGTACATTCAGTGACCTTGCTTGTACAGGGGAAGAGGGGTGGGACACGTGGTCTTGGCCACTGGGCTACGAACACGGCAGCCTGGGTTTGATTCCTCGTCACGGATGGCATCAATGAGTGACATCTTAAGCAAGCCTGGGTGCACCCCCTCCCTTCACCCTTCACCAACTTGCACTGCCCAGCGTGGTGAAGTATGGCAAGAACAACTCCCATGACCCCAAACGGCATGGGAACGTCACCCAGCGATGGATTACCAAATGGATGGATGTAGAGGTGGTCGCCAGTGGTTTTTCCTTTCCGGTACAGATCACTATTATAAAAACAGAATTTTTTTATGTATTTATTTTACCAAGTAAGTATCACTGATGCTATGTAGCTCTTTGTCAGAAGCGACGTGGTTATCACGAATGGTATCTCGACGAAAGTTGGCTTATCGTCGTATGGAAATGTATAGCAGAAGCCAAATACTCTAAACGCGTGATGTTAATTCTAAATGTGGAGGGGAAAACCGGAGGACCCGGATAATAAAAAAAATCCACGCGTTTGATTGAGATTGAGTCAACGTCAAAGTGATAGCCCTGAAACAGTGGTGGAAAATCCACATTTCTATGACGGGAGGGCAAGTGTATCCATAGGGCAACCACTGTTGACTTAGGCAGTCAATGCTATTCAATGTATAGACCCCAGAGTGATGAAGGATTTGTGTTTATGTATTATTGTGGACGCATAAGTAAACAACTCACCGTGTGTGCTTACATTGTGTGTGTGTGTGGGGTATGCATTTATTTGATATTAATGCTCACCAGGAGCTCTCAATGTCCTGATAGTGGCATTGTCTTTGTGCTGTTCGCCTTTTGGCGTCCTCTGGTCTAACACTGTTTTAGACTAGGCTCTAAAGAAAGCTGTCTCTGGTCTGGAACAATCAGTTGAAATACAATGCATCATATACTACCAGATGTATGTCTTTTGTTTGCATGTTCACTGCAAGTATGAAGTGTGGTTAATGCGGGTATGATTCCTTGCAAAAGGTTCCTGTTTGGTGTTTAACATCTTAACACAATCTTCTTTGGTTCTTTTGGTAAAGTCACGTAGAATGAGAATAAAATAATAAAATAACACAATAAAATTCTCACGACGTTTCGGCCACAACGCAAGCGGCCGTCTTCAGGTGAAAGGTACAGACCTGTCGGCTCTGTCGTCTCGACAGGTCTGTACCTTTCACCTGAAGACGGCCGCTTGCATTGTGGCCGAAACGTCGTGAGAATTCTATTGTGTTATTTTATTATTTCATTCTCATTCTACGTGACTCTACCGAAAGAACCGAAGAAGATGAATCCTTGCAGTCACGAAAGCTTTAAATCTAAATCTTAACACAACTGTTTTATTGCCATAAAGGAAAAATACCTATTCTTATATTAATGCATAATGTTGAACAGCATGTTACATAACCGTGTATGCATAATGTACAATTTAAAAACTGCTGTTTACCACGCGTGCAAACGTTTAACTTTATTGCGGTACTGCAGGGTAAAGAGCAGAGCTTATATATATACAAAAAAAAAATCAACGACCCTTCATACCTGAAGTGTACATTGCACGGTGTTGTCATTCTTGACCGCTACTGTTGCCCGAGCTTAGAAACGATGTCACCGATAGCTCCGAGTGTATTTGCGTTATCTGTAAATGCTGCGAGTGACACCACCCCCACCCCCCACCCCCCCAATTATTTTTTTGCCTTCGCTGCTATGCAATGTTACAGCTGGGTAGAAGCAAGCACGCCGAGTCGAATCCCGTAGCGATTACCGGTGCGCAAATTGTTATCACTGGCTTAGGGTTGTCGAGAAACGTCGTTTCCCCGATGGCTCGTCTGAGCATCGAGAGGCGTTGACGCTCTGGTCTTGTTGATGTTACTCGTAATAAGCAGGCCTTTCAGAATACTGTAGGATTTTCTGAGGTCTGGCCCTTTTACGGGGGGGGTGGGGGTGGAGTTTATTTCGCAGCTTAAGTTGCGGAAGAAGCGCTTTTATTTTTGCTCCGAGCCACGCTAATAATGTCACCATAATGTAACCACTATTAGCGGTAGCGGGATAACAGCTCAGTGGAGTCGGCGTCAGTGAGTCACTGACCACCTGGACAGGACTGAGTCACTCGCACCGTTCTCTCCGTTTAAGAAATACGCGTCTGCTCCAAATTCCAAGAGCGGGCTCATTCCACTTGTGTCATTGTGGACGAGCGCTTTCGGGGCCGTCCTTGAATGACGTCCAGCGATTTTGGACGATTTTTGACCCTAAAAGTCAGACCCCCCCCTCAATCATGACGTCACAAAGCTCTGCCCCCCCCCTCCCCCCAAAATAAAACATGCTTCAAATCGTTTTTCTGGCAACAAAACTGAAACCTTTTTACAAGGATTCATGTCTGCATTAACCACAATACCTGCAGTCAAAATGCAAACAAAAAAAGCATACTATGATAATATATGAATTCTCCTTGAAACTGATTGGTCCACACCAAGGGACGGCTTTCTTTTGGGGTCGAGGCTCAAAAGAAAGCCGTCCCTTGGTGTGGACCAATCAGCTTCAAGGACAATGCCAATATATTATCATAGTATGTTTTTTGTTTGCATTTTGACTGCAGGTATTGTGGTTAATGCAGACATGAATCCTCGTAAAAGGGTTTCAGTTTTGTTGCCAGAAAAAAGGGGACAAACCCCTATTATTATATTTTGGTACTGGCAAAGTAGGTCGAGTGATGCTTCAAATCGCTTTAAACTATTGTCATTGAAAGTGCGTATTTAATGTGGCGCTGCACTCTGATGTTGTAGGAGAAACCATTTATTACAAAGTCTATTTCATTAAGTGGAACGTCTTGTCTATATTTATTTAAAGTTGCGCATTTTGATGTGACGTCAAATTTCTCAAACCCCCTCCCCCCCTCCTCGTCACACATCGTCACAAATGTCTGACCCCCCCCCCCGCCCCTAGATGCGTGACGTCATTTATGGACGGTCCCTTCACCTTTGCATGCAACACATTCAGGATAAACGTACACGGCATTTTTCAGATCATCAATATGGAAACTGGATGAAAAGGTGCACGGTTAGTAGACATCTTACGGGCATTTTCGATTTAAAGCTTTCGTGACTGCAAGGATTCATCTTCTTTGGTTCTTTCGGTAAAGTCACGTAGAATGAGAATAAAATAATAAAATAAAACAATAAAATTCTCACGACGTTTCGGCCACAACACAAGTAGCCGTCCTCAGGTGAAGAAACAGGACTGTCCAGAAGACAGCGCTGTCTTCTGGAAGATCTTGGTTCTTTCTTTACCATAAGAACCAAACCAAAGAAGATCTTACGGGCATGTTTTGATACCGGGTGACTCAACGGCTTCGAGGATCCATCATCGCTCACCGCGACTGTAAATGAGCTGAGCACCAACCGTGCGAATCGGGGGTCCGAATTGGTCTACAGTGGAGGCGGGCTCTGATCCACGAACTCTGCCACTTGGTTTCACACGAGCAGTGGGGTGTGCGTGACACACGCGAGCTGGAGGGCAATCGGGGGATGGGCCGGGAAAATGTGATTCTGGCTTGGGAGCCCCCGTAAACATTCACGTGAACCCACGGGTTCGCCCAGCTAGGTTCGTTTCACCGTGCACGATGCGTGGAGCCCTCGTGGAACTGTTTTGCGTTCCACCGAAACTACCGCTTGCTTTCATTGTGCAGCGGCTCGCAGGCCGTTGCCGAGTGTCTCGCGGGTTAGGTTTTAGGGGCAGGAGCACCACCCGTACATACCTGCACGCAGGAGCGGCGTGCTCGCCTTCTGGTAAAGGTTGCAATGGGCGCAACCTCCCGCATGGAATGTGACCGTAGAAGGCACGGCATGGCTGGGATGTGCCAACACCTTCCCAGGACTTATTCTCCGAGCTCGCCACAACAAGCGTTCGTTCGCCTTCCCACCAACCAACTAACAGACGTTGCTGCTGCTCCGTCGGCTATGGGCACCATTAATCCTTCCCGTTTGGCCATGAATCAAAATGTAAAACCAGTGGCCGTGTGTGCGTGTGTGTTAGCACAAGGTTTCCCCTTTGGGCGTAACAAGGAGGAGGAGGTTGACGATGATGGTGGTGGTGATGTTGGGGCAGGCTTGTGCAGGTGAGAGCCACGCCTTCATTCTAGGTTTTTTTAGTATTTGCATCGCCGTGGCGAGAGTTTTAGAGGGAGAGAGGGGAGTTTGTAAGAGCGCGGCTGCGGAAGGACTGTCTGTCGTATGCCTGCCTCTCTCA